GAAATCAAAAGGGAAGGGGACTATGGGAGAAGTTCTCGAAACATTTCTGATATCTGATATTTTAATGAGTGGCTTATGGTCCGTGAAAACTGTGAAGTTACGACCTTTATGGAAGTGTCCGAAGTGTTTCAAAGCCAGGTAAATGGCAATAAGTTCACGGTCAAAGGTACTATATCTCGTCTCAGCAGGCGACAGCTTCCTAGAGAAGAAAGCCAGCGGTTGTAGGGAATCGGTTAGGTGTTGTTGGAGGACTATTCTTACGTCAACCATGAAGGACAGCGGGGCTTCGGGAGCAGGATGTTCGAGCAAGATAGCGTTAACAAGGGAGGTCTTGAGTATCCCTAAAGCAGTCAATGCGTCACCAGTAAGCTTAAGAGGACTATTCGGACCAGAAAGAATGTTGGCGAGTGGCAGCATAAGGTCGGCACAGTTCGGTAGGAACCGGCGGTAAAAGCTGACCATGCCGAGGAATCACTGCAGCTGACGCTTAAAGGTTGGTGGGGAAAATCACAAATGGCTTTGACCTTGAAGGGGAGGGGATGCAAACCTTCTGTGTCAACATGATGGCCAAGGAGTTCAAGGGGAGGCACGCCAAGAACGCACTTTGTGGGGTTGATGACGACACCATACTAGTCGAGGCGATCTAATACCAAGGCAAGGTGCTCCTTCTATTCTTTGGCATTTCGGCTGGCTACAATGAGGTCTATTGCGGCAGGCTAGGCAGAGAGTGTGACCCTGGCTACTACGACCTTCAGGCTCGATCCCGAATGGGAAGAGAAGGCGGACGCCAGTGAGGAGGATCGTATATTCTGTACAGAAGAACTAGAGAAGGAGTTGAAGAGAGCTGGCAGCTGGATGTGGGCACGTCCGGCGCCGGGTGAGCGGCGTCCCCAGTGTCCGAGAGAATGCGTCACAGCTGTAAGCGGCCTAACCGTGCTAAGTGTCGAAACCCTCCTATTCGACCCCCATAAGAACGGTAGACAGTGGCCTAAGGGGAAGATTAGGGATTGTTTAGGACGATGGGTGGACGGGTTGGAGTTCAGACAGGGTAGGGAACACGGGAAGGTCCTTTGACGGAGACTGGTTGGCCTGGAGATTGTCCTTGGTTGACCTGGCAAGCGAGAACGGCGATGACGTGTGGAGGCGTCGGGCAGGCGTTTTCCGGTCCAAGGGTTTCCGGAGATCAATTGTCCTCGGTGGTAGGGGGCGTTCATCGATCGTTCATACTGCCTATATCATGCGCCGCTGTGCGGCTGCTGGTTGGGCTGGAGAGAGAGAGACCGTAAGGCACAACGGAACGAGTGAGTTCCGTAAGAACGATTGGTGAGAGCCCCCTACCATTGCATATTCTCGATCAAAAACTGACAGGGAAACGGGCTCGTGGCCCGGTGGTTAGAGGCGTGACATTCTAACTAACAGGTCGCGAGTTCGAGCCTCGGGTGTTCCACGCTTCGGGGTTGGGTATGATTGGCTGACGACTGCTAATAAGCCAGAAATGGCCATTCCAGTCTCCCCTGTCTTTGCCGGTAATAACATACTGCCTATTGTCCTCGGTATTTACGGGGCCCCAGTCGATGCGGACAGGTCTAACGAATAGACCAATAGGCAAAAGTAGTATGGACAATGAGAGGTAGGATAACACAGAGGATTAGCCACTAGGCTGATCGGGGCTCCAGGCTACTATATATGGCAGACTTGCAATGGCCAATAGGATCAAAGTTCAGAGGGCTCCAGTAAAATCCTGAAGATGAGGCACAGGGTACCGATCAGTAATGGTCGCGTTGTTGAGTTCACTATAGTCGCCACAGGGTCTCTAGTCGCCTGATGTTGCCTTGGGAAGACGCCCAGGGGCTCTCGAACGGTCGACTGATTCTCAGTTGCAGCATGTGATCAAACTCCGCCTTCGCGACCTGAAAAGGGGCCGGTACTAGTCTTCTAGACCGAGCGAACACAGGAGGAGCAGAGGAGCGAATATGGTGCACGACGTCATGTTTAACCTCGTCATTGCGAAACTGGGGGTTGATTATGTCGGGGGTGTTCAAGAAGAAGTTCCCGAAAGGGGTTAGCAATAGCTGTATCCAAGACAGATAAATTTAAGGAAGCACTGAAGGGAGTTAAACCATGCACAGAGAGACCAGTCGTATGGTCGAGGAGTCTGACACGTCGGCAGCCAACAAGGAGATCGAACTCGGCAAGAAAGTCCGAGCGCAGGATTAT